GTGGTGGGGACATCTATCAACCAAACACGTCCCCGTACACAGCACTGTACGCAGGGCTAAGGGCAGACTAGCTGCAGTTCTGTAGCTTGGATTTGGCTTTGTCCTGGGTATTTGGGGTTGTAGTTTGTTTTCATTGTTGTGTTTTAGTAGTAGTCTTAGTTTGCCAGTGTTTGGCCATATTTCAGCAACCTTGGGGTTGCCATGGCAACATATTTACTCAGCAGTGTCTCTTTATTGGCCAAACTCTGGCCCCCAAGTTTTGTTATTTAGAATAAACCTACCCCTATTGCATATTGGATCCCAGACACTTGTGTGTGATTGTGCATCGTTATTCACCCCCTTGTGGTATGCAGCCCTATCGCAACCTGGATTTAAATATACACCGCAGACAAAGTAGTCGGACCGGATGATAAACCCACAGTCAGCTGGTGTGTTTGGGTTTACAACACCGCGGCTCACACACGTGACACGACAGCTGAATGTAGATACGTCATACAGTCCGGCGAAAGAAAAACCTGAACAAAATAAAGTTCTCACCCGTAATGTTTTTTTCTCAAATTGATGACTTGTTCCTTCGTCAGGGGTTCCATCATATTTCAACGGGTAGTCACTGTTTCACCGTAATACAATCTGTCCGTAAACGTCACGTTCAGATAAACGTTTGCCGTGAATTTAGAGGCAGCTCACAGTACCAACACTGGTGGTGAAAGCTTCTGAGTACCTTCGTGTCGAGTAAGGTCACAGACCGTTCCATTTCACCGGAAATGTGTTGTCATTATTTTTTAAAATGCATCAAGAATATTGTAACTGTTGAAACGTTTGTGAGCAAATAATGTACTGATAAACTGTGTATATTGGTATTAATTAATAAAAGACGAGTAAAGTGTCACACCGGTATAGTGCTCGTGAAAAACGCATTGAATTATACCCGGCATACCTATCGAATAATGAATCGGTCATAATAGGTGATTTTCCGTACAATTGCGAGATCTCGCGAGATGCATGAAAGACGCGCGTCAAACGTCTGCCGCAAAAATCGAACGATTTGATTTTGAACTCGAATTTCCTTATTTCGTAGCTCACACCGACCGGCCGATCTTCGACACAGGAATATTGCTTCCGAATACCCTTACTTAATCGAAATTGCCTATCATCAAATGTGGACAGCACATTATTAAGCATGGAAATGTCCCCAAAATACTTTCGCGTTTGTCGAATCCCACGCGATGTTTAACGCGACTACGACGCTATGACCTTTGTTTGTCCTGTTTTTACGTTCGATTTCACGCATAACGCGTGATTCTCGCAGTGTACGGAAAATGGTCTATTCAATGATTCGCGAGACGGTGTGACGTAGTCTCGCTGACGATGGAAGCAACTTTATTTCGCCTCCTTTGCTGCCAGACCTTGGTTCTGCAAGGTCGCATATTTACATTAAAATGGTAGTTCAAAATGTATCTAAAATGTACAAACTGTTTGCTAACCAAAACGCAGACCCTCTATTCCTGTGACCAACAGTTCCATTTTTGATATGCAAGTGTCATTTTGGAAAAGTAACTTGAAAGATTTTCGTTTTTCGGCTTATAGAGGTGAAAGTGGGATTATATTCTATCAGCATTTATCTCAACTCTAACTGGATTTATCATTGGACAAAGACATTCCCTTTATTATTATAAATATTCATAAATTTCACAATTCAATTGGCCGATTGAATCATAACACTGGAACGTTTCCAAATGACGCCATTGCTCACTGTGCTCGTTGATAGACTGGTTTAATTCAATTGCTAACCTGAGTGAAATTTACAAATATTTTTGCATAAAGATGAAGGGATTATTGTTGCTACGTCAAAAATACCGGTATAATTGCTAAATTTAGGAGCTTTGATGGAAAGTGCATAAGCAATACATCAGAATGTAAAATTAAAAGATTTGGCTTCTTCGTGCCTTTTTTTAAAAACTGATTTCTGTAGAAATCCAACTTCATATGAATCATGAGAAAATAAATGAAAATACACCATTTGTTCTCATTGGAATGCCGATATTTTGTTAAAAAAAAACATATCAAATTCTACAAGTATGTTGTCATTAGGAAATTATAGCATACTGATATTCTGCTTAGCTCACTGGCGGGTTTCAAAAATGTTGAATGTGCATGTTGAGGGGGCAAGCTCCCCTTAAAAATCTGGACCCTCTGAAACACTATTTCCTGCATTTTGAGGGGCAAATTTCGTTTACACAAAGGGGTTCAGTTCGATTTTTTCCAAGAGGCGACCACCACATCTGCCCCCCCGTGCCGCCGCCACTGCTAGCGAATGGGTTATCACAGTCCCTCTATGATAGAGCATGGAAGGTACTAACGTTAGTACCTTCCATGGATAGAGGGACTGTGGGGCAGCATAATACTAATATTTTACACGCGTTATGTACGTCGCTATGAGCCCCATATCGAACGCGACACGAAACGCCCATGTCAGGTTCAGGGATGCAGTTATTATAATTCGTAATATTGAAATATTGATCAGTCGTAAGTAAGTAAGTAAATAACTTTGATTTCGTATCCTTATTGGGATCTTGAAAATAATACAATAACGAATGTTGTTTAAATAAACAACAGCTAGCTAAAAAGTAACAAAACAATTAGAACATTAGATCAATAAGTAAAACAGAACAAAAGTAAACAAATACAAGAAATGTAAAATTTAGTGATTATTTTGAGGCAGCTGGTGGTTTTTTTTAGTGTAATATCTCTGCGGTTAAAGCAGTTAAAAATGTATTTTGCATAGTCAGTAATTTCCTTGTCGGTAGAGATGAGAATTTTTATCATAATTTCTTCCTCAGCTACACCAGCTCCTCTCCTCTTTGTACCAGGAGTATCTTCTTTCCCATAATGCATTGTTCTGTACCAGGAGTATCTTCTCTCCCATGATGCATTGTTCTGTACCAGGAGTATCTTCTCTCCCATAATGCATTGTTCTGTACCAGGAGTATTTTCTCTCCCATGATGCATTGTTCTGTACCAGGAGTATCTTCTCTCCCATAATGCATTGTTCTGTTGGTGCAGTTTGCATTTTAGCAGAAAGTGTTTCTCGTCTTCTACTTCATCAAGATCACAGACTTCGCATTTTCTATGGTTAATGTCAATATTTTTGTACCGCCCCATTTCTATCTGTAAGGTATGGGCACTTAGCACGTAGTTTTGTTAGGGCTGACCAATGGTTGGGATTTTTAACTACTGTTAGATATTTTTCATAGGTGTAATCCTTTTTCAGTAATCTGTAGGTTCTAAGTTTGTTTTTATGATTTTTAGATTTATTGTCATCATACATGCTGTTTTCAGCGACTGTTTTAAAACGTTTAATGAGTCTATCTAAAATTACATTGTGTCCATGCGTCACCAAGGTCTAGAAAGCTCAGGATGGTTTTTATTCCTGTTACCCAATTTTGTATGCCTGCATCATCTAGCTGTATGCCCAGCTGGTAAGCTTCATGAACTAATGTATTATGATCCATGTCGTTTAATAGCATCCAATATTTCAGCATTTGCCTTATACTTGAGATGGCAAGTGCAAGCCTACCAAGCTCAAGCAAGCATGCTAAATGTGTTGCTTTGCTGTTGATTTTTAATAAGGACTTGCTGAATTTAATATGTAACTTTTCCATGGGTGATTTGAGATTTGTCAAGAAGCTTCCTTTGTTAATAATGCAATCGGACCAAATTTCACAACAGTACAGCAGAATTGGTTTGATCATTGCATCAAACATCTTTAAATGGATTTCTACTGGAATGTAGTTTTCGGAGAACAGCATTTGGTTCATTTTGAAGCATGTTTTCATGGATCTATTTTTGAGGTCTTCTTGTGCTTTGTCAAGTTTGCCTGTTGTGTTTAATTTCATTCCCAAATATGACGTAAGTATATTGCGTGTTTATTATTAAGTTTTATAAAGTATATATGTTTGGCAGTTGTTCATTTGACGGGTCAGATTTGTTGTCATTTTGTTCAGATTCTTTTCCAGAAATTACTCATTTATTTCGGTCATGTTACTTATTGTTCTTGCTGTACGTTCATTCTATGCCTCGTTTATTTTCTGTAACCGATACTTCCGGTCAGTCTATGGATGATGACCAAGGATTACACATTCACGTATCAGGAGCGTCGTGTACATCCGGGTATTTTTTCTTATCTGATCATCGGCCCAATGTACATCTACATAACATACATTGTATGCACGCAAGCAACCGCGGCAGAGTAATATTTTAGGTAAAACTCATCGGCGCGCAAATAGTATTGTCGGAGCTCTATCTTAAAAACAATACGGTTTAATTCCGCAAATCGTCTGATACTCGTACGTTTACAGTCTTTAACCCCACAGACTTATGCCATTTTCAAAAAATAAAAATTCATATACGTAAATGTAAATAACATTTTGTGCGTGTTTAAATAATCTTGTGTAAAACTTTGTATGATTTATCGTAAATGAATCGTTTTTCGAGTATTATTCATCATTGACAATTTTGAGAAAGGGTACATATCAGATCAGAACAAATTCAAACATTGCTTGTAAAATTGATTGCATATGGTGTCGTCTGCTGTCCAATGTCATTTGCTGTCCAATGTCATTTGCTGTCCAATGTCGCGTATTCAATTCATATTATGTTTCTTATTGTTCAGTTTTTAGCAAACAAATTATCCCAACTTTTCGTTTCAAGAGTGTCACACTCTTGATGATGACATAAGTCATCATTTTTTGAACTTTTCATCCAGGAAATATATTTGTGTCAGAAAAAATGCAAAAAGTGACATTTTAGGAACAAATTTCATTGGAATTCATGTTAAACATTTAAAAAAGTAGTAATTCTTAATAATTCGTGGCAACTATAAGTACCCATTTTATTACAACATATCATTTTTTACCGAAATGAGACATTTTTTTATTAACAAAACAACTGTAAACGGCTAAAACATGACACATGTTCGTGTATTGGTCGTGTGGTTCAGTGTGAAATGTAGTTCGGTGATTGTCCGTTTGTAACTGGGTATTCTGAATCACAACAAAACAAACCACACTGTGATGGTGATACCGCGATACCCGCAATCCACGGTACTTCACGATGTTGCCAATCGGTGCATGATACGATCACATGATGTCATCGTATCTGTTAACCATTAATCCTACACCACACCTGCATTCTGGACTGCGGAGTACCGTCCAACTTGATTATCTATACATCCATGTACATTATACATACAAACAGTTGATTTGTTATTTAATCGTCTTGACTAGTCTCTCAAACTAAAACCAAACTCACTGTGACGTCAGAAAACTATCCGGACTGTGAGTATGATTTTGTAAACGCTGCCTGACCTTTGGAACATAACGGTTCATTTATTTAAAATAATATATATCACAGGTATGTGAACTTCGTTGTTTTATACTCGACATTTATTCTGTATCCTGTATATTTACTATGTGCATATCTTGATAGCATTATTCCCACCTTCTACTGAAACGTTTAGATGGGTTGTACCCATTACCTTAGCTTATTACCGAGGTCAACATGGCGTACACGATCAAAGTTGAAGTTTGTTTAAAAATGAGTTACTCACGTGACTTCATTATGTTGTTTATATTTACATTTCTTTTTTTCCATTATGATCCAGAAATTTGTCCTCAAACGAGTTCTTTCCTTGGCGTTCGTCACAGACGCCTTTTTAGAGAATTGTTGCCGTCCCCAGGTCTCGTCCTTTCTTTGCCAGTCGACGCCACAGAAACACGGCGCGGCACCATGTTTGCCCCCCCCCCCCCCCACTGTGTCAATGGTCATTCGCGTCACAGTGTGATATTACGACTTACTGCCTATATGTAGTGATATTATCTATTGGAAATCATCAGTTAACGTTGTTCAGGTCAACATGGCGTCAAATTAAATCTGGAATTGTGTTTAAAAATGCGAAAATGTTGATTAACAAAACATTATGGTAAAATATCTTAATTCATACTGTGTGTTTTCCTCTATGACAGTATAATTGCAGGATATGCAGAGTTGAAACAAACTACAAATCCGAAGTGAAATCAGCAAGTTAATAATTAATTAATATTTAATCAATTGTAGAATTGTTACTTTTAGGAGAAAATGAAAGAAAGAAACGACGGTCACCGTGGGATATCGTTTCTCGTGTAACTAAACTGCTAATAACAAGATACAGGAACACAATTCCTATTTTGAATAAGTTTCAATATGTTAATTTTGACTGGAATAGATCCAAATGTTCAACCATAGAAAAAAGCTTTAAGATATTTTACATTAAGTTTAAATTTTCTAAAGTTCAGGTTTAGTAGTACCAACAAGAATACAGATGGATTCGTGCCATCGTCATTGAGAATATACGTTTGAAAATAAGTGATAACATTCTGGTTATTAGATCTTAGAGTCAGGTTTATGACTCTGGTCATAAAGTTTCGTGTTTCGTCATACTGATATCGGTCGATCAATGTATTTCTACGGTGTGTATTGACTCATTTATATTGACTTGTTATTGTTTCCAGGACAACCATCAATTCTACAATGTCATCATCTCAAAAGAAGCGAGCACGACAGCAGCAAGGCGATGTCAACAAATGCGTCAAATACAGCATATTTTTCTACAACTTCGTCTTCTGGGTGATCGGTACCTTTCTTCTTGCATTTGGCGTGTGGGGTCTTGTCAGCAAACAGAGCGCCACCATCGACGAGATCACAGGATTAGTTGTTGACCCGATGTGGATGTTCATTGCACTAGGAAGTGTGATTTTCATTGTATCGTTTTCAGGATGTATTGGCGCTCTACGTGAGAACACGTGCTTACTTAATTTTTTCTGTTTAGCTTTGGGTGTGATTATGATATTGGAGATAACTGCCGTAGTGCTGGCATTCGTTTATAGGGATGAAGTGGGTGATTTGATTGGAGATTGGATAGAGAACGCCATCTACGATTACACTGGTGAGTAGTGCGCCCTCTACCTATAATCATTACACACCTCTCAATATCTACTTTGACACCTGACTACAAACACACAGAGTTCAGATAAATATTGAATAAATATTTGCATACTTTTGTCACCATTCAAAAATAATAAAAACAAACATAATTTTTGTCATATTTTTTTTTTCAAAACTTTTTAACAAAGCCAACGGAAAATTAAGTCCATTTGGTTCAAAATTAACTAAGAAGATATAGAAAATACGCGTAAATAAGAAAAATTATCGGGAAACAACTGAATATAGCGCTCAAAGAAGGTAAATTTTGTTTAGAAAATCAATCGATAAAGAGAAAGCAATCAAATATCTGTTCTACCAATGTTTAATTTCAGAGGATCCTGATATTAACTTTCTGTTGGATGAGATGCAGACTAGTTTGAAATGCTGTGGAGCCAATCACCCTGACGACTGGGATAACAATGTGTAAGCTATCTTCCTGTAATGATATATTTTAAAAACATCGAAATACTACTTCAAGTTCAAAATATACTGGCACCATTGATACCTTCAGACTGTTTCTATTGAGTCCGTCACGGTCGGGATTGGGCGTCACGGTCACATATATACTTAAAGTGCAGTAGTCGTCGCGCAGCGCGTGTTCGAATTTCATGTAAATAAACAATGTATTTCACACGCGTTGTAGACGTCGCTATGAGTCCCATATCGAACAGGACGCGGCACGAAGACTGCCGCCCATTAATTTTCAGGGATTACAAGTTAGCTCGATGGTACAGCAAACATCCTGAATTATTTGTTTATATGTCACATCCCTCTTTCATGAAGTCTATGCGGCAAATCACTAAACATCGGTACATAAGCTTGAACGTAAGCACACATATGTATAGGGGAAATGGTGTGAACAGACACGTATGTTATCACTACCCTCAGATACTATTAAACCTCTGTCAGAGATAAACCTACCGCATACATGCACACTGGAACTTTGAGATTTTCGATTTACCACAGTCCATAGTCTATACAGGGACTGTGGATTTACGTATTTTTGTTTGCGAGCAATCTAAAGCATATCAATTCTTTCGCTAGAATATGTGCCACATTTGACACGGGAAACATGAATGCAGCGCGCGTTCGAATTTTATGTAAATAAACAATGTATTTTACACGCGTTGTACACGTTGCTATGAGTCCCATATCGAACAGAACGCGGCGCGACGACCACCGCCCTTTAACAATATTATTGCGCAATCAGAGAAACGCCGGTCAGACGGCGTGATTGTAATATTCTCGTCTCATCTCGTCACATACTTACGTACATTGAACACGACAATTAATAAAATAATATTAATTGTTTTCAGATATTTCAACTGTTCGTCGCCTGCTGTAATGGCGTGTGGTGTGCCGCACTCTTGTTGCCGACCGGAAGAAGACGGCGGCGTTAATAACAAGCAATGCGGTTACGGTATTCGTGCATTACCGGAAGTCCAATGGCATAACTACATTTGGATCGAGGGGTGTGTGGATCTAATACATTTTTGGTTATTACAGAACATTATAATCATAACTGTCGTCATAGGAATCATTCTGATTCTTCAAATCATTTCAATTTTTTTTGTGCGAAATTTAGTTGGAGATATTCAAATGATAAAGGCTCTCTGGTGAACAATTTAAGCTGTTTGTTATTAATAAGTGTCAGTTTTTTACTCACCTGTCCACAATCGCAATTAGATTGTAGAAAGCGAATAATATAGAACAATATCGGGGATTAGAGTCACGTGATATTTACGTCAGAGCACTTCATTAAATGCACCATTTTTGGGGTCTTTTTTCGTAATATATCGTGTTGTTATCGCTAAAATAATCTTTAATTTTTTTCACACAAACCTTGGAATAGCGAATGTTAGTTTTGAGTGACGTAGTGCTAACGTGCGCTGAAAACAAACAACAAGCAAACAAACAAACAAGATGCGAAATAGCTCACTAGTTAATGAGTATACGTATATAATAACATGCGCATCGAAATCCACAAATATAGCAAACAAATGTGTGTTTCTTTTAACAAAGACGACAAAGAGTTTACAAATTTTGTCAGAATTGTTTTGAACATGTCAATATTATTTGTCAAATCAAGAAAGAATATTAATAAAAAAAGTTGTATAATTTTTTGAATATCTTCACTTTTATCGTATTTATTGTAATAGTGCAATGCTGTGACACAAATTTATGTGAAATCACCAACATATATAAATACTAAGAAATTGATGTGTGTTTGATTCAGGTTTTGTACTGTATGTCACTAACCAACCAAATGAACATATAATCAACAAATCTTTGAGCACTTATTTTATGATAAACATTAGTTTTATTACTGTTTTGCTGTGCTATGGTTCTATCACAACATATGCCTTGACACCAATCTTTTTCTGTACATCGTGTTTTAACAAGTGTGTTTAAAATGTATATGTGCTTGGCGAAAAATCTGACTTGACAATGGGATGATTTTACTTCTGCCCCTTTTAAAACACAACCCAGTCTTTAGTATTGTATGTTGTGCGATTCATGCATTAGTGTTATACATGTGCTCAAGATATTAATAAGTTGTTGTATGTTGCTTATAAATGGAGAAATGATATGATAGTATTACCCGTATATTCTGCTGTAATAGAACTAAACTATACAGAAATATTCGACTCTCGATTTTAGCCGGAATGAAATCTGCCAGTGATTTTTAATAAGATAGATTTCCATTTTCAATTGAATGTCGATGTCGATGGTGGCCTGAGTAGGTATTCTAATGAAAATCCAGATGTACACGTTGCATTGGTGTTCAGTAGATTTCAGTGGTTGTGGTCGTTTAGGAAATTATAATGTAAATATATTATATATATATATATATATATATGGTAATTAAATAATGTGAATTAAAAATATGTTTTTTATCTTATCTTGTCTCAGATTTGTTAAAACGCATATAGCATCCATCCACATCGTATGTGAACTGCGCATGCGCCGCTTACGTAACTCAAATGTCCAGTAGAAGTACGTCTTTCCCAGAAGACATATATAGTAGATAATATTTGCTAATTCTTGTTCTAAGTTACTAAAGAACGTGTGAGTCAAACATGTGACGTCATTACAATTCTTGGCACCAACATGTTGGTGTGGTTTCAAAACTTAGGCTGTAATGTTGTCCTGGACATTTTAATTTCGAAAAAGTTATTTTTCAATTTTTCGTCTCCTCGATGTCTGAATTTTTTTTTAGCTACCACTGCTATTATAAGATTTTTTGCATTGTTTAATATATATCATGTATTACTGTTGTATCAACATTGATAATGACGGTTGTCATAGAGACAAGACAAATATTGAAATGTAAATTCAATATTCATTGAAGTTGGTCGAATTTTACTGTGAGCATATAAACAACAAGGTTTTGCTTCTCGTTGCGCGTATCAGTATGGAACCTACACATCACTTATTTGTTGGCGCTTTACCATAACAGTGAAGAGCGCCACATACGATAGAACGGTTAAACTGTTTATTGCTATATATTTTATTTTTCTAAAGATACTTTTTGATGTTCCAAATCGCGTCGAACATTTTCTGAATTAAAAAAAAAAATGTTTTGAAGACTTATGACTGACATACATCAATCAAGTTGTTTTCAACCATCATTGATTTTAAATTTATAAAACATTCGAAAGCATGTTATATAAAGGCATTCGTGTCTTCGTGAAATTCACTTTCCCAATTATTTCAAAACATTTCACATCAATGTGTTATATTTGCTTTATTAGAAACACATCTTCTCCAATCGAAGCGCACATAAACCAACAATTACTTTTCTTGTATTATCACTGAAATGACTTATTTTGACTATGGATATAAACCCTGGCTGTAACAATGCATATTGCGCGGTAACAATGTGTTTAAAATTATGGCGAATAATTTTGATAAGCTAATTAAATTTTAACGCAAATAAACATGTAGCGTAAAAGTGCAAAATATGGCAAAAATACTAAACGTAAAGGCCAAAAAATGTAAAAAAAACTTCTCTTTACATTTAGCCCTAAAATTCTATATAAATATTATGCACATTTAATCAGTAATAAGATACTAAGATCAGATTTGTGGATTTAAAAAAAAAATGACAGATCAAATCTGAGCTTAAGTAATGCTCGCAAACAAAAATACGTAAATCCACAGTCCCACTGTGGTAAATCGAAAATCTCAAAGTTCCAGTGTGCATCATGTATGCGGTAGATTTGTCTCTGACAGAGGTTTAATAGTATCTGAGGGTAGTGATAACATACGTGTCTGTTCACACCATTTCCCCTATACATATGTGTGCTTACGTTCAAGCTTATGTGCCAATGTTTAGTGATTTGCCGCATAGACTTCATGAAAGAGGGATGTGACATATGAACAAATAATTCAGGATGTTTGCTGTACCATCGAGCTTACTTGTAATCCCTGAAAATTAAAGGGCGGCAGTCGTCGTGCCGCGTCCTATTCGATATGGGACTCATAGCGACGTATACAACGCGTGTAAAATACATTGTTTATTTACATGAAATTCGAACACGCGCTGTGCGACGATCACCGCGCTTTAAATTAATTTATGTTAAACAAAGAGACACTATATGTGCAGATTTGATATATTGGGTGTAACAATATAATCATTTAGGACCAATTTTCACAAAGGTTGAAAAACAATGTTCGTAATGTATCAATTATTTGTCTCAACTTGTTATACCCGGTGTTATGGGCATAATAATTTATAAACAAAAACGCGTAATGAGGCGATTCAACAACTATTAGAGTAACATTCCATGTGGGACTTCCGGTAAGACTCTTGTCTTAAATACAAAGCAGATGAAAAAACTAACATTCATTCTGGAAAATAAAAACACTAACTGAGGTATCAAACTATGTTGATAAATTGCTTCACAAAAAAAGAGGAAAGCGTTAAAAGCAGTCTAACAGCTGCCTCAGTTAAAACTACAAAATAATAATATCACATACATTATTACATGCATTAGATACACATTATATATACATTTTTATGAATGTAATTTAAATGTTTGTTTGTCCATTTATTTACACTGTGTTGTTCCTTCCCATCATTGCAATGAAGATAATACTTACGTTTTCGGTATTCAAACAAAGTTATTATCATACCCCGTCTATAGAGGGCAGTGTTGTTCAAACTTCCATTTTGTGTTCATTGTCTAAGGTCGTGGCTCAGTGGCCGTGGCTCAGTTGTCTCTGCATTTATGGGTATTGGTCGCTCACCAAAGTCGGATTTTTAGTCGTAAGTATACTACCTATATTTCTAAAAGGTACACTGGTCGTATTGTATTAGAATATTTGAGACTCGAAGCATGTTAAATCGTCGTCTACAATGTGAAATATCGTGACTATAACCATCGAAGTACTGACATGAGCTAAGCCCCCATGGTACTGCCAGCTACACGGGGAACTACCCCCACCCACCCATCTTGGCAAACCAGTGGTAGATCCCATCTAGCCGTTACAATATCGTTGAATTGACCAGATCCCATAGCTTTTAAATTAAATTGATTTACCATGACCAAAATATTGACCAGGTTATGGGACACATTTGGTCAGTTTTCGGGGTCAGTTGACTTAAGGGCTAATTTAACTAGATGGGCAGTTGACTTGGAGCCTCACTACAGTCAAGGCGAGTTTAACTAGGGGGTTAGTTGAATTGGGGGGAGGGGGTCAGTTGACTTGGCTTAGTTTAAGTAAAGCCCTAGTTGATTCAGTTGATTTAGGTCAGTTAAACTTAGGTATCAGTTGATAATAAATCTTCATATCAGTTGTGGACAGCGTTTTCATTTTATTATAATTTGTTGCCTATATTGTTTCTCTGTACCATAAAACTCTTGTACATGTACAAAACAGTCAAATATTGTATACCTTCATAAGCCGTTACATATTGGCAAAGACACAGCTAGTATGTAGAGGTGTTTGGTATTTATATCCCAAGCAATAAGACTAATAATAATTATAATTGTGTTTGAATTAAATTACCAATCACTGAGTCCATCAAATTTTCTGTCGAGCCACAAAGTTTTTTAACTCCATTGCCTGGTTATCTATCTAATTTAAGCAGTAGCTTAATTAATTAATTATCCAGTAAACAGGTCTTGTTTGTTATTCTCTAGTATTTTGTTTTATTATAAACATATGTCTGTCTACACAT